TCTGGGGCATTGCATCCTGTCCTGTATTTTTTTTACACTGTGTATGGCTTATGCGAAGAGTCTGCTTCGTGCTTGATTTAGGCGTCGCTGGTTTGGTTTTGTGTCTCTGGAAATGAGTAGTTTGCAGCCCAAGCACTCTCAGGTTTCATGGGTCTCAAGGAGAGCTTGGAATTCTGCAAATCTGAGCCCTAAAAATAGGAATGCTTTTGTATTTGCAAATTAAAATAAATCTTGATAAGATCAGAATTTGTAACAGATGTTCAAATTCTTAGGGGTTTTTTGGCTTTGATTTTTTTTTTTTTTTTTTTAGAAAAAGATAATCTTTTCTAGCCTACATGCAAACTGTGTTTTTAAATTTAGGAGCAAACATAGTTGTATTTTTTTTAAAAAAAAGTGTGTGTAAATAGATAATTTTATATAGAAAAAAAACAGCTTTCAATTAGTCTCACTTCTTACCAGTGGAATAGGAAGGCAAGAAAAAAAGTGCTTCTGATCAGTTGATCTTATCAGGATTTCATTCTGTCTTTATAGCTTGCATGTTTATTGCCGCACTTTGCTCTACTGATGACCAGTATTTGTACACCGTAGGCTTCATTTAAGCTTTTCCCTTCCTTTATGCTTTTACTATACAAGATAATTCTAAAATACAAATTATTTCTTCTGTATATGAAAGGGAGCTGGGAAGTTGTTTTGACCGGATACAAATGTTTGTCTCTTAAATAGATCTGCGTTTGTGTAGCTGCTTAATCTGCTTTATCTGTGATTCGTCCTCTTGGTTGAAGTAGTGCCCCAGCTGGTATGTAAGGAAATCTTGCTCCTGAGGCATTTTCCATTAAACCCCAGATATGATGTACTGTGTCTTCTCAAGATCCCATGATTAATTTGCAAGACTTAGCATATATAATTAAGGAAAGATCAGTACATTTGCAGTATATAAATCGCAGTTTTAAAGCAAGATTAAGACATGGGCATTCAAAGCTGATAACTTCGCTTCTTTTTTGTGAAATATTGCAGGGTAGTATCTTGCGTTAGACGAAATGAGGGTGGGGTCTGGATATACCTTTGGAGGAGCACATATGGAAGTGGTTTTCGATGGGGAATAACGCTTCCCTATGTGTGCGGTCAGACCTGATCATCACAGTGCTGACCACTGTCCCTTCACTCCTGTTAAATGCATTTTCCTGAGCAATGTCCCAAGGACTTAAAAGATGCCCAAGAATTTTATATAGATAATGGACAGAAATCTTACAGGTAGTCCATCTGCAACATAAAGAAGCTGGGAACTGAAAAATACCCGGGAGGAATGGTGGAAAAGCCATTTCTTGAAATGATACTAAAATAAGCATCTATTTGTTCCTACATAAAGCAGTTACTATTCTTAACGTACTATTGAACTGTGCCATTAGATGAGGTCAATCAGGGTGAAAGCCTCTGGTGTACAGAAAACGCATTGTGCCGGATAACCCACGGGCTTCAGACCTCACGTTTTAAGCACAAATTACAATTTTTTGGTTGCCCAGAGAATCTTCTTAATAGAAAGTGAGGCAACAGTTTCTGTTCATCTTAATACCACCACCGAAGTTAGAATAACAGTTGACAAAATGGACTTGCCATGCTTTTATGAAAATTTAATCGCTGTTTTTGGATTAACAGATATGTGGCTATTTTTATACAGAGCTATCAGAAATCAACCGTGAGGTTAATTATTGAGAAGAAATAGTAATGGCATTGATTAAGCAGGATCCCTCTGGGTTTTTTCCCACTGTGTTCCCTGATGTTGTATGATGTGACAGCTTTGATATGTGTAAAATTGTAGGTGCCCGTAACTGCTTATTCTGCCCTTCCTTGAAGGCAACTTCCCATGTCAATAATGAGAAACACAGTTTCTAGCACAGGGCAGGACTGTAGCCGTCATTCACCGCTGGTGACCGAAATGCTGCTTCTCTGTGCATATGAAAAATTCATCGCTCAGGCATTTGGGCAAACAGCTGATTTTTGCTAAAACTTTCTGTCTTGTTCATGTTTTAACTCTTCTCTTCTCTTCTGTCACTGTTGCTTCCCTCCTGGCTAGAGGGCTCCCAGAGATGTGAGAAGACCTAGTTGAGACCTTGCTAACGAGCTGAACGGAGAGCAGAATAGCACCAGCCTTAGTTAAACCCTCTGGCTTGGCACGCCTCTTCCCAAGTACCTCAGGTGCCCCTCCAGACATGGTTGCTTGCTCCTCGGAGGGCTGAGTTGCTTCATTACGTGTCTTCTCTCCCGTGCACCATCGCAAATGCCAATTATGTTGTACCTTCAGGAGGTTTAGCTGCTGCAAAGGTTTCCGTGCGCCAGCTGCTTTTGTGATAAAGTATGTTACAAATATTTCGGTAGTCCCGAATAAATGGTCAAATGCAGCTTGTTGAGCAGTCAACTGAACCGCATGCTCGGTGGTGATGGGGTCAGCACGCGTTAGCGTGAACATCTGGCTTTCCAGTTTAAAGCCGCATTTCTTTATTCCTCAGCTGAAAAGTTTTGTGCTAAGTTGTGCGAGATAATTGAACTGGTTTATCTAGAAGAAATAATACAAATTCTTTCAGACGACAAGACTGCATCGTCAGTTCAGGAGCCTCTCGGTAATTGAAGCAGTTGATTTCAGTACTAACTTGTAGATATTCTTACAATAATTTTATCAATGCCGTAATGACAAGTCTGTGTTAGTTATCCCGGAGACTGCAACAGCAAAGAGGGTGGTTGGAGGTTTGAGCGTTCCCAGGGGTGAGGAGAAGAGCAAGGCACAGGCTCTGCGGATTATCGTACACGCTAATTCTGGGCTTATTCTCTTCACCTCCACGTGCAAATTAAAACACAGCGTAAAATATTTCAAGGAGTTAAAAGCCAAATTGGGGTATGGTTTTGGTGTAGTCTGTGGGCTTTGTTGCACATGTGAATTTTGTATGTGCCCAAGTCCTCACTTGCTACGCTGAAATTATTCCTGTTTCCAAACTGGGCAAAAAGTGCTTAGTGGTGGCTCTTCCTTTAGTTGCAGAGACTTGTTTTAATATTAAATTCCTTAAACTCTAGGAGAGTGGATTATTAATGTACCAGGAAGGCCGTGTCAGTAAATGCACTGGATACATCGCATAGCACAAAGTTTTTCAAGCTTTCAAGTGTCCAAACCCACTGCTGTTGCATGCGTTACTGGAGATGTGATGTACTATGAGAAACCGATGTTTTGCCTTTGTGCTTCATGACCTCCTGTTCTCCCTAACGCTCTCTTTCTCTCTCTCTCTCTCTCTCTCTGTGGCCTTTTTTGTGTATTCGTTTCTTTTTAGAAAATGAGTGACTTTCTCTCCAGGGAGGATGTGGCTGCAGTGCCAGAGAGGAGCAGTGTTAACACTGGCTTTGCGTGGGAGGGCTCAAAGCAGTCGGTAGCTTTTAGTGAGACCCTAGTGCCACCCGCCTCAGAGCCTTCTCCCAGCCGTGACTTTGCTGCCTCCTCCCTAAGCAGCGAGGAGGAGGAGGAGGCAGTTCCCAGCCTCCCCGCGAGCGAGGAGGACCTGAGATGTGGAAAGGGGGTTTGTGCGGATGCGGAGAAAGACTTGGAGCTCTCTGAGCTGGAGCCCCCCGCCAGCCCTGCCGCACCTCCCCGGCAGCCCTGGGGAGGAGAGGAGGAGGCGGCACAGGATGGCGAAGACAGACTTGCCTTTAGAAAGCTAAATGGCGAGTGTCACGACTCAGATGTTAATAACGGGCTGCCAGCAGTCATTCGCTGCTTCCAGGTAGTGAGCCCCAGCGCCTGCTCCCCCACACCCCCCCCCGGCTGGCTTTGGAGTGGGAACCCAAACACTGCAGCAAGCAGATGCCACGGACCCAGAGAGGAGTTGTGTTTGCTTGGCTTGGATTGTGCTTGGAGCTAATTAGCCGGTTAATCTCCTGCAGTCAGTGCACACAAGCCCCTCTCAATTTATCTTTGTTTTAAAAACAAGCCCCTCTCAATTTATCTTTGCATTAAAGACAATTGCCGCAGCGCAATGCCCTTTGCCTTTCTTTGATCAAAGCATCCTGTTGCATCCTCCAAAAGGGAAATATTTAGGCTCCAAAGGCATGTAATTTTAGTTCCTTAAGGTTTTTGCCGTTTCCTGCTGTACTGGAGGCTGAGCCTTAGCATGGCAGAGCAATTTGAAGCGCTGTCAAACGTGCTTTCACATCGTGAACGTGGGCTTTGATGTCCCTTTCTGCTCCCCACCGTGGGAGATATTTTTGCCTGCTTCAGTGTTGATATTAATTGCTTATGGTTAAATGGATGCCCACTTCCCCTGCTAACAATGACGGTGGCATCTATCAGGTTTGGGGATGGTGAGCAGAAATTGAGCCCTCTGGGAAAACACTGTGGGTCTGAACTAACTCTGTCTTCTTCTGGATAATTATCAGGTGGTGGAACAACTGATTTCTCTGTCCCCCATTTCTCTTTCGAGATGTCATGTTTCTGTTTTGTCTGACATTGATTTAATAAAAGTTAAAGACCTAGGATCTGCTGAGGATTTTTAATAATACAGTGTTTTACTTGCAGTCAGGATAAAGCTTCTCAGCTGTGATCGAGTCTTTATTTGCCCGGGGTTTGTGTTAATCTTGACATTGTCATCAGTAGATGAGGGTCATCTTTTACTGGCAGCTGGCAATGAGCTTCTAGTAATTAGAAAGTTAATAATCAGTGGAGGCAGTTTTTTCGTGGTATTGTGACATACCGGTTAAACCCTTAATGCCTCGGTTGGGCTGACCCGAGGGCACAGTGTTGGGGAAGGTCTGGAGGATTTTTCTGTCTGTTTAATCCTCACGCATGATCTCTGCCCTCTGAGCAGTGTGTCGTACCAGAGGCTTAAAAACAAAGATTTCCAGGCTGACCTTGGTTCCCACAGTGCTTTTATCAGATCAGTGTCAGAACATTTGCCAGCAGCACGGTCACGATGTGGAAATGCTAACTGGGTCTTTATGGAGATGTTTTTAACCCTGTCTCATAGCCACCGCTAGTGAAGACACAGACGGTCACCATCTCTGACGTGTCCAGCGCCGTCAAAAGCGAAATTCCCACAAAAGAAGTCCCCATTGTCCACACGGAGACGAAGACCATCACCTATGAAGCTGCACAGGTAAGGTGTGTTCTGATTAATTTTCCAGGGGCTTAATTAAACTCAAGTAAGCTTTTTGTTTCTGAATCCTCCGGATGAGACGGCAGCACCTGCCTTTCTCCAAGCATCTGAGTCGCAGCACAGACGTTGACCGATGCTGTGGACGCTGTTTCCAGGTGCATCTGGTATTTTTAGAGGAGCACTGTTTTTACTGTCCCTGGAGAGTAATTATTTTTTCAAGATGTGCGTGCAAACAGAATTTATCCTCAGCCACTGGTGGCTTCGGGATGTTCATTTGATTGTACGGAGTAAACCTGAGTTGACCTTTTTTCTGCAAGAGATGCCTTGCCTTGTTTTCCCCAGCTCTCCTTGCTGTTTATGCCTCTTCAGAACTTGGTTTATAAATAATTCGATTGTTCTTTAGGTTTCAACCCTGAAACAGGTGTTGAAAACCAAAAGTTTTGTATAAAATGCAACCAGAGTGGGTATCTAGGGATTGGAAACTAGAAATGTTAGTGGAGTGATAGAATATATGCAGGTATGGTTTCATTGCTGCGGTTAAAATTAATCCTCAGTCTAAAATAGGTTTTATTTATGTATTTGAGAATTTGGAGCCTGTGTTAGCTTGGGTTTGTCATAACTGTGGTTGTTAGAAGCAGCCCATGCTCTGCTGTTGGAGTGTGACCGTGGGATGTACGTGTGGGTGCGGGTATCCCATGGACCGTGCTCGTATAATTTGGGATTTCCAAGGAATCCCGTGGCTGCTCAACATCCTCCCCAATTGCAGGAGTAGAGGGGGTGTTCAGACATGCCTGCACCGGGTGGTGGTGAGCATCGCCCTGTTTCTCAGCGAGTGACTAGATGAATAGAGGAGTTTTGCTTTGGTTACTGCTGTTACCTTTTCTAACTGGGAAATGAAAAGGAAAAGTGCGTCTCCAGGGCTGGGAGAAGTCGGCCCTGCGTGCGCCGGCTTGTGATGTGCCATGAGATTTCTTCCAGTCTGTGGAAAATGGTCCCACCTTGTGGTAACTCCAGATATCGTCCCGCTGCCGTGCTGGGGATGCTGCCCAGTGTTAGTGGTGCACCGTAAGGGAGACACGGCCAGGATGAGTTGGCAGGATGACTTATTTTAGGTTTTTCAGCA